AGAAGCTGTGTTTTTTGTGCTGCAAGTGGTTTATTTCTTGTTGAAAATGGTGTTGACGAGCTAAACGGATCACATAGTGGGGCGACTATCGACAATACAAAGTCATTTAACTGGACAATGTAGGATGGTGATATAAATATTAATTCTTTCCTTGAACCATATTATCGTGCATGCAGGGGTTGAAGTGCCCCCACAATTTCATGTTCATAAAAAATCTATATTTAATTCAGGTAAACTACAGTGCCACAATCTATCTTCGTGTTGATATAAATAATATTTGTAACACATAGCCAGTGTGTGTAACGATCCAGTCTGGTGAGGACGCCGATCCTAAAATAGGACCCACAGTTTCTGTTGGTGGCGGTGCAACCCGACCCCTAAATGCAACAAAGACAGGAAGAGGGTTAAATAAATTAACAACTTACCCACCGCCCGACATGCCCCCACCCCCGTTTCCTCTCCTCTTCACCTCTTTAAGTCTCGTAAAACCTGAGCCATGACGTTTGCCACATTGATTAGTATCAACTAAAAATAGCATTCACCTTTTATAGCTCTAAATCACAAGTCGCCTATTTGCGTCAGAAGGTTTCAGTCTGTAGGCATGTCATAAGCCATCATCCATCGAGCTCTTAGCAACTAGGGAGGTGTTTGTGTGGAGCCACTGTGCTCTTTACCTCTGTATCAAAGCCGTCCAAATACATGCAACGGATTAGATGTGAATCCTTGAGACTGTGCGTGGCTGAAATATTATGTTTGTCCTAGTAGAGCAGGGAAAGACGCTCTGACGCTTTATACTCACCGAGACACAATTAGTTCCAGTCTGAAGTTTTATTCAAAGATAATTCTTTAAGGGTTACTACATAGAAACAACCAATTCTTCTCCCTCTTGGTCGTGGTAACTTATGAAGGTCGTATAGAGGCGGCAGTTTCAACCCGTTTTTATCAACCCTCACAGTAGCTTTAATTATACTTGTGACATCTGTCGTCTCTCTTCCTCCCAGTTGGCTCATTCATCACGTTTTCACTCCTCCTCTTGATCATCTCCTGGCTTCCTCTCCTCCTCCCCACTCCCTCAGCCTTCTGCATTTCCTTTCCTTAATCCTCCCCATTTGTCTCTGCTAGCTGCTATAACGCGACTCCTAGTCCCGCGTTGAGCTTGTTGCCTCCCTTAATGGTATCTCTGAAGGGCATTAAGCCCCGCACGTCTGTGTGTGTGTGTGTGTGTGTGTCTGTTCTCTGCCGTTCAGACTTGAGAGGACAATAACACCATACCCTCTGCAACATCGTCTTCCCCGATCCTTTCCTACTCGGCACATGGCACGAACATGGCGATCTAGTGGTCCCCATTTATTGAAAACAAACAAGTGTTTCAGAAATGTTTTTCAGTATAAACCACTGTTCACCGGTTTCAGCTGCAGGCTTGTTGCTCAGCCCGTCAGTGCTCACGCAGGCATGCACCGATGCACCTTGAAGCCCTCCAGCCGGTCCCCTTGACCTCCCCCTGAGGGATGGTGTCGCGTTGCCGCGCTGTGGCTTCAGAGCGGTGCAGCTCCACAGAAGGCGGGCCGCATATCTGGTTGCCCCGGGCCGGCATGGAAACCAAGTGCAGTTAAATCTTTTTCCTCATTTGAGGTGTCTAGATCTCTGTTCCATCTCACCGTCGCCGTGGAAACGAGGCCCCGAATTTGTGGTAGTAGCTGTGAGTGCACGTGGAATACTCTGCCTTCTCCCTGCACGTTCAGGCACAAAAGCCGGCCCCCCCTCTGCAGCGTTCGAAGCCGCAGGCTGTTCTGCCGGTTAAGCCTAGTTTATGCTAGCCCCCCTTGCGTGTCCCTTGTGTCGCCTTTCACACCTAGCGTGTGTCGAGCCATTTTTCTAGGCTTGCGTCGACGCAAGCCTCCCGCTTGCTAACTACATCCTTTACGGAGTCTCACATTTCCGCTTTTATAGCCCGATACCGCCATTGGCGGCTTGTATAAGCGGGTTGGATTCACGGAGGGAGATCGCTGCAAATGCCGGTTTGCCTTTCGAGAGGTGCACAAAGTTGTGGAGGAAAATACGGGACAAATGTATCTGCCATGAAAAGCAGCAGTGGCGATGCACGGGGCAATAAAGTCTATGCTAAACAAATAAATAACTAGACGTGACTCTCTAGGTCGTCTTCATCAAAACACGTTACTCCTGTTGTTCTGGCGGTGAATTGCTCTGCAACACACGCAGAACCATGAATTGAAACGAGTGCGTCGACGCAACGACGCAAACGCAGAAGCATGCGCCAGCCTTTAGTCGCGATTATTTTATCGCTGTGCCTCTAAGAATAGGAGGCCTTGTGTCTGGGGGGTGGTGTCAAACGCTCTTGCGGGATTAAATGAAACGGCACTCTCGAAAGGTGCAAATCCTCATGGTCACACTGCAACTGTTTTTTATAGGAAGTGGCAAAAGATGTCTGTGTGGCCGTGCTGATAATACATCTTGCGGAAGTCCTTGAATAAAATGTGTGGCTTGAAAAGCGTGAGACCTTTCTGACTCGTTAGGAGCAGTTTGTTGGCTTAAAAGGTCCAAGCGCCTGTCAGACTGTACACAGGAAGTGGGCGTAGGCATCGGGACTTCAGGTGTGTGGGTCACTGTTTTGAAGTCTCAAGGTGCGGCGCTTGGGTCGTCGCCATCTCTTCTTTTTTTTTTTTTTCAGAGGGGGGAGTTCAGTCTAGCTGAACGACACATTGTTAGTTAACCTTAATGAGCTTAAAACACAATGCAAGGGTTAAAGTCTTATGACTGAACAATACTCTGTGACCTGATCTGTGGGTTGATCCCTTTGTCCCTGTGGCCTTACCAGCGACCTATCAATCACAAGGTGGGCACGCCTTGAAGAATCAAGATACAAATATTTCAGAATGTGACTCAACTATGTGTACTACTCAATATATCTTTCTTAAAATAAAACTATTTCAGAATATTTATCTAATAATAAGACAAAAGGTTATTGAAAAATCTTACGAGAAGTTGGTGACAAGATAATAGCAGTTTCTTCACAGGAATGACACAAAGTAAAGGGTTGTGGACGCCTACAGAAACAGGCCGAGTGTGGAGCTGCTCTAAGAGTGAGCTCATCGGTGTGAGCAAGAGGGTGTGTGATCTACAAAACACACTGCTGACGTGCAGAGCAATAACATTGTTTTCAACTTGGCGCATTCTTTCCAGGTGTTGCACATGCATTGAGCTGTTGGGTGTGGGAAGAACCAGTAAATGAGTTGACGTGAGCAACACTGATATAAGAAGTGTGTGTAATCAAACGTTTATTGTTGTCGCTTGCGTGCGTGTGCACGTCGAGAGATAAAGCAGTAGGAGGGGAACAGCATGAGTCTAATATTTAGGTTTTCATGACTTTTCTAATGTGAAATTTTGTGTGTGTGCATTTGAAACTTCTGCTCCGTTCAGCCAGTAGATATCCACGACACCTGGGGGTATTTAAATACATGCAAACTTGTATTTGAATTAACGTTTTATGAAATACCGTTCACGGTTAAACCTTGAGTTAGTTATGATTTTGGAGCTTCAGACTTAGTTCTGCCAGGACAACATTGGTTTTCATTTTTTTTCTTCTCCCAGCTCGATATAAGAGTCTGAACTTCTTGTCTCTTTCTTCCCACTGGCTTCCTCTCTCTCGCCGGTAAAAGCCAAAACTTAAAAGGTTCAACCCCAAACACAACGCATGCAATAGAGTTAAGCGCTCCGTAGAGCCTGTGTTGGATAAGACGCATGCACATCACAACAGCATTTGGGAGACTTGTGGAGGCAGACAGTAGTTGTCCAATTCACATTCAATTTGAACACTGTCTAGAACTAAAACTAGAAAGCACAAGTGTCTTTACTTTATCAACAAGCTGCTGACGTGTTTGTAATTGTCATATCGCCGTGCCCTAGTTGTAATGAACTTTTTCCCAATTTTTTTTATGTTTTATGATGCTCCCGAAGCAGAAGGTTCTTTGATCTTTGTGGAGCAGAAGTCAGTGACAGCGATGGATGCAGCTCCACACAGGTTGTCTGCTTCGTGTTGCGCTAACCTGGAACTTCCTGTCATTGCAGTCACACTTCCTGCTGCATTTTTTTGTGTGTGTGTGTGTGTGGGCCGAGCTCAGGAAGGAACGGACACACAGAGCATCCAGGGGGCTAAAGGGTGCTATTATTCAGGAGGCTCAATGGGTGCTTTGTGATGGTGGTGGGATCTGGGCGGGGCAGCGAGTCCCCCCCCCCCCGTCATAATGTTTGTGAACAGCAAGGCCGGAAAGAAGGATGTGTTCGGGTCAATATCTTTTAGCGGTGTAACGGGGGAGGCGGTTTGTCCATCCAGACACCGGTTTGTACAGAGCTAACGTACAGAGGCTCCACACAGCTCCCTTATCTGAAGCCTTGTTTACCAGCTGCTATGACAACAACACACAAATGGCTCGTATCCCCCATAATGGATCTTCCTGATTGGTATTGACGGCACAAACGTTATCTGGAGTGTTTGAAAAATGGGGAAAGAAACCAATCTTTCATTACTTCACCTTCTTGCTTCCTTTTTTTCTCTTCCCTCACATAACAGACATCACTCAGCTGGGTAACATTTCATGTTTTTTCAATCTCCGGCAAAACCCGTCGAATAAGTTTTTTTCTTTTTAAACATCGATGGCGAGCCGTAAGTGGTGTGAATCTCTCCGCAATGCCACGAAACTCAATCACATTAAAAATGACAAACACATTTCTGTAGCTAAAATATCTGACGTGTGAGATTTGTTCCGCTAACATAGAGTAAATTGTTCTTTCACTGCTTATTTCTTAGCTTATCCTTATTATTATTCTGCATCTGCCAGTCTTATCAAAGCCGCTCCAACCTTCCCTCCCGTCCATTACATTTTCTTTTCTTTCATTCTGGTTTATTGTTAAAAGCTGGTGGAAAACAACACACAAACGGGCTTTTAATAATCACCACGTGCCTCCGGTTTCTGTTTACGCAGACGTTCACGGCGTGGTGCAACTCCCACCTGAGGAAGTCTGGCACGCAGATCGAGAACATCGAGGAGGACTTCAGGGATGGACTAAAACTCATGCTGCTGCTGGAGGTCATTGCAGGTAACTGTCCTGTGTCGCGTCCCTGTGCACGATGTGTCCGCTCTATTGTAGGAACGTCTGACAAACACACACAGCCCCTCACTCACAATTGGGGCGTCCCTGAGCCTCTAGGCTGCCCGTCTAAATTATTTTTCTTTGTTGAAGATTCACAACGTGGCTCTCTGTTCCGGGCGTGGTTGCTCACAGAGCTCTTCCTCAGCATAGACCCATGCGCTGTATACTACGGCTATATCTACGTCTACACCTAAAATAGCTTCGTACCAAAGATGTTCCGTCAGGGGAGATTTTGTCACTTTATTTTATAAGTTTAAGCTTTCTTGATTTGACACTTGATTAGACATGACTGCACGCTGAGTCAGTTGTCCGAGCGCTGGATGCTTTGAAATGTACAAGAGTGGAGGTGTGACTTTCCAAACCTTCTGTGTAATGGAACTTTTGTCAGTTTGATCATGAATAATTTTATAGTCGAGGTCTGCAGATGGCTATAGGTGGAACGGGGCTCCGATGGTTTACCACTGGATGCTAATCTAGACAAAATGTTGAATACAACATGCAGGCAGTATACTTCCGGTAGTTGTTTTTAGAATGTGTGAAATATTTTTCATCACATGGTAATTGTCCACTTGTGTAGATAACGTAACAATGTTTGTTATTGAAAGCTGGTAGATATATCCTGCTCCAAACAATCGTTATTATATCCGCCTGGTCCGTGCCTTTGGGTGAGCTCACTGTGATTGGCGGCACGCTTCTGCTACCAGAGACTCTAGTGCAGTTAAAACATGGTAACAGCAGTTCATCTGTTGCGAGAAAAATTATACAGCAACAACGGCGAAATCGTCACCATGACTACGGGCACTTCTTGCATGCACTCCATGATGTAACTTGCATACTTAAGTCCAGTGTCGGGAAAGTTGAGATGCATCTCTTATCTTTCTTTGCAGTGTATGTATTCATTACAGAAAACCAGGAGCTGCTATAAATCTGTCCTCGTATGACTGCAGGCCCGTCCTTAATGGAGGGTTGTAGCTCAGTACATCATGAAAACTGCAGTAATAAAATCTCATCGTTTGCATTCACGCCAGTTATTTTTTTTGCTCTGCCTTGATCGTCCCCTACGTAACTCTAACCGTCCTGACGGAGCGTGTTTCTGCCGAGCCTGTTGAAACATGCCCAGCTCTCATCACCGCAGGAGCTAACTGTTCACTTTTTGTTTGTCCCCGTGCGTGTGTGTCCGTGTGTCTTCACAGGTGAACGGTTACCCAAACCTGAGCGAGGCAAGATGAGGGTGCACAAGATCAACAATGTCAACAAAGCCCTTGACTTCATCGCCAGCAAAGGAGTCAAGCTAGTCTCTATTGGAGCTGAGGGTAAGCGCATAAAAATGAGCACCCCATCCCCCCCCAAAAAAATCACAACCATGTGATGTGCTAAAACCTGTTCCTCAGACCTCGCTGGAGAAACGACATGTCATTCATCCACTCTAGTCCTAATTAAAACGGCTCCAATATGAATCTGAACATGGTTTTGTTAAGAATAGGCCTGTCCTGAAAATATATTTTTTTTCCATTTAGCTTCTAATTTATATAGCTTTTTAATATAACATATCTGGCCACCAAATTAAACAATTGCTTATTAACCAATTTTATTTTTTTATTTCAAATTAGTCAATTACTTTCAATCGCGCTAGTGTAACAGCTCTTAAGACATTACCTGCCCTTTAACAGTTTTTGTTGTGTATTTAATATATGTGGGGTTTCACTTTAAGAGGTGTGCTTCACCTTAAGAATGTCACCTACAGACACATGAAACACATTTTACATATCTGTGATAGCTAAAATATCATTCGATTGAGATCTGTCATTGTTGTGCCTCTAGCAGAACATTCACTCAGTTTGTACTTCAGACTTGGAATGTGAGAGTAAGACACCTCCCCCTCTGCCAGTCCACTGCCAATTGAGGACACGGGTCCAGGGCAACTGTATCACACTGCATTGTTTGCGTGCGTTTGTGCGTGTGTGACGCGAGTCAGCTGGAGAAGTGTGACCTTTATTCCTACTTTCAGGAAGACGTGACATTCTTGCCGCATGACACTGCTGATACTAAATGCTATTGAACTCCAAAATACTTCACCACTGAACACGGTACACATTGTGCGCACACGCATCAACACATAGTCTCTCTGGTCTTCTATGAAAGCAGCCCACTAAAGGTCATCTACTGGAAACTAACAGAGCTGAAGATGGAGGGAAACAAGGGAGCCATGGTGTTGATGCTGTGAGAGGAGGACATCCTACAGAAATACTTTAGACTGACACATTCCAGTTTCATCTTGAGGGACTTCAATCCCAATACATCAACCCAAAAAATAATCATTTGTATATCAGTTACAGTGTTGCCTTGAATTATAAAATAACTTTAGTTCAAGACCTCTACCAAAAACTTCATCACCAATTGAAATCAATTAAGCAAAACTAAATCTGTTTAGAAACTAACACAAACCATCCTGGATAATCAAAGTCTAATTTATACTAATTTATATAGGACTGCAGACACACACGAGAAAACTGGTCATGAAACCACACTTAAAAGAGTTGAAGATTTGGTAACTGTACATATACATTTTACGCGGTCTTGATTTGGATGTTTACAATGGTCATTTACATTTGAAATGATTGATAGTTCAAGTAAATTGTAGCGACTTTCAACTTTAATCAATTAATGTAGATAATAAAGTTCAGGTGAGGTAATTGATTGACTGACTTTTTCAATCGTTTTTATATTTGCGTGCAGAAATTGTGGACGGAAACGCCAAGATGACCCTGGGAATGATCTGGACCATCATTCTCCGCTTCGCCATCCAGGACATCTCCGTGGAAGGTATTACTTCCTGGGGTTTTAATTTGCATAAATGCATCCATCTTGGCAGAGGTGTGCCCTCTTTAGTGGCTCTGCTTCCAGGATTAAAGGCAGGGTAATCTTCTGCAAAAATGTTATATTTCTGTCAAATCGTCGTTGCATCCTGATAACAAACGAGTCAAACGCTCTGCCGAAACAAAGTCCACCGGGGTCTTCCTCATGCTAAGAACAGCCATGTTCATTTTGATTATGATCCCGGCCACTTTGGGCGTGGCTTTGGAGAAAGGCCTGAAGGGACCAGTCAGTGCTGCGAGGTACTTTTAACAGAGAAGAGTTGGAAACCAGTGAACTTGAACTGAGACGAAAAAGGACAAGTAGAAGTCGTCTTCATCCGTCCCCCTCTGAGGATGAACCGGCCGATCAGTCGATGTTTGGAAGGCTTCGTGCCCGATTGAGCTCTGTTTGTAGAGCTGCTGCTGCCTCTCTGCTGGCTAATTTCAAACCAACCGTGTTCAATTAACTGTGGGGGCACCAGAAAGCATATTAAGCTATATTTGTTACACTCCATATAAGCAGCTGATACGTTTGTTCGGGCACTCGCAGTAAGCAACATCAGTCACCTCTCTAGTCCGAGGCCAGAAACTGCTTCTATTCAGCGCTAACGGTGAATGATCGATTGATGTGATGCAGAGACGTGTTACCAATCAGACCTCCTTGTTTTCCTCCTCGTCTTCTTCTTCCTCTCCTCCTCCTCCTCGCTTGTATTCCGCTAACCTCTTCCTCCTTGTTGCAGAGACTTCTGCAAAGGAGGGTCTTCTCCTGTGGTGCCAGAGGAAGACCGCTCCCTACAAGAATGTCAACGTGCAGAACTTCCACATGAGGTAAAACGCAAGCACATGCGCATACACACACACACACACACACAATCACATTTTTGTACGTTTTAAATGATTGAATAATTGATTATAATCATTGGTATACTTTCACTACTTATAATAATTATAATACTAGATTTGACATTTTAGTAAATATATTTATTAATTATTGTAAAGATGTTAATTTAAAAAGCACTTCCATTATACTTCAGAGAAGTTTACTTTAAGTGTTCAAGGCCTCTTCCTACAAGTGTCTAAGCTACAAGCTACCAGCTGGCTCAGTCAGTAGAAAATGGAACAAAAGTCTTAATCACATGAAAAAGAGAAAAATGAATGAAGTTCCAGATCAATGAGACAATAACCTGGTTGGCTGCACTTAAATTCTTTGGCTCCTGATGAGGCCCTGGTTCTGCTTTGCTGTCACTGGATGGGGAGATGAGGGGGTGGGGGGGCACATGACTTTGATATGATGAGCATAGAGAGTGGTGATAGCTCTAGTGCTGGCAGTAAATAAAGGATTAGTTTTGGCATTCGTGTGCCACACAGACAGAAATGTGACTCATCAACACCCTCACTGGTCCTAGAACAGCATGTAGTGGTTTTTCAGGACTCAACATGTGCTTCCATGCATGTATAGAAATTTTGCCCCCTGCTGGAGGACCAGTAACATGTTTCACTTCTCTGGAGCCAGAAGCCGCCTATTAGATACAGTGTGCATGTGTACATTTATTCAAATCCATAATAATGGGATGTGTCAAGAAGCAGTCTAAGGCACATAAAGACCAAGAAACGCCTTTTCAAGCACGTTAAAACCTGCAAAAGTCCTGGATTAAAATTTCAGCTTGGAAAAGATTTACAGATATACATAAATCCGGGAAAGTTTTGGCACAATGCGTCACAAGTCTCTGGATAATAAAGTACACAAAACCATAGTTACGTTTATGGATGTCATCAATGTTCACTTTCTGGGACGCCCACCTTTTCTTTATTATCGTCTCAGCAGTGCGTTAGAGTGCAACCTCTTTTTGCCCAACACGCTGCCAGCTCCTTGGTTAGTGTCAGTTAGGCTCGTCACACATTGCCGCCCCCTTGCCTCACACTCTGCTCGTCTCTTCTCTCACAGCTGGAAGGACGGTCTTGCCTTCAACGCTCTGATCCACAGACACAGACCAGATCTCATCGATTACGACAGCCTCAGAAAGGTATATAAGTGTCCCTGAGCAAGACACTCAACCCCTAACTGCTCCCTGGGCGCCCTTACGGCTGCACACTACTCCCACTGTGTGGGATGGGTTAAAAATTAAAGCTAAATTACATTTCACAAATTTCCCCTTGGGGATTAATGTTTGTATCTGTCCATGTAATGTCATTCAAAACAGTAGTTAGAAAGTTGCCAACAATAGTATTTTGACGCTGTGATTGGCTGTCTAGGACGACCCAGTGACCAATCTGAACAACGCCTTTGAAGTGGCTGAGAAGCACCTGGACATCCCCAAGATGTTGGACGCAGAAGGTAGTGTGTGTGTGTGTGTGTGTGTGTTCTCTCTCCACTCAACTGTGCAAACTGTTTTCAATGAGTGTCTGTTTACATGCACACAAATTGGTGAATGATGTGCTAGTGGGAAGTAGTCTGTAGTTTTACAACCATTCAATGGTTACATTTGTAAAAGCACTTGTACACTCGCTGCCTCTTCTTCAAACTCCACGGTAGAAACCGGTGGTTAGTTTAGTGTCGGCACTGTTGAAGCATCATCTGATCCCAGTTCAAACCTCTTCAATCTAACCACTGAGGAGACTGCAGAGGGCTCAAAGAACAACGGAACTCAGTTCAATAATGATGGAGGGTCACTGAAAACACATCCAGCATCCAAGTTAAACAGTTTTCTCCTCTGTAAAGTAACACTCTGGGACGACAACTAAATGGAAGTTTGAATCTTTTCATTCGAAACTATTCAAATGTAAATAAAACATTTGGTGTCACCATGAAGACATTATTATAGAAAAGAATATAGATAATATGTAATTACATGTATTATAAAAGTCAGCATAACAGCTGATTGATAACTGATAAGGCAGTCATTTTAGTTTCCAATGGACTGAAACTAACACTGACCAATTTATAATCGTTAAATCAGCAGTCAATTCGTTAAAGTATTTACCTCTGTTACACTAAACTGAATGTCTGAGTTGTGGTTAAACAAATACATTTGAGGATGACATCTTGAACCTTTTTTGGACCTAACAATAAAAAAAATAAAGTTTAATTTATAATTCAAAAAAGAATCGTTAAAGGTTCTCATTGACTCACTTCCCTCAGTCACACTGTTGATGCAGTGTTAAATCAAGGTCTGTCATCCCCCCTCCCCGTCGCCCCTCTCCCTTCTCATTCTTTGGATTGTTAAATAAAAGGATATGTTTTGTGTGTGTCTTCATAACCACGGTCTCCACCCCCTCATTGTAGACATTGTGAACACTGGTCGTCCGGATGAGAAAGCCATAATGACTTATGTGTCCAGTTTCTACCATGCCTTCTCTGGAGCACAGAAGGTACCCCCTGACCCCCTGCCCCCCACCTTTTAACCCGCCACCACTGGTTACTAACAAGGTGCTGCTTCCTGTCCAGCATGCCTCAGCGTCTGGACAGCACCGCTAGGCCCCCCCAACCATAGACAGCTCTGAACCCACACTGGATTCATCGGGAGCACAAACACACACAAGCTCAAATAATGTGACTGTAGCGGTGCTGCTAGATGCGGTAAAAGTTCGTCAATGATTTAAAAATTAAAGACTATAAATTGTTATAGCTGATGAGAGAAGATTATTTTAGTATACTATTAGCGGGTTAATGCTGCAGTTTTCATCCCTCCCTGATGTTTGGACATCGTGTCAAACACGTTTAAAAATGTAGTATCTTTGCTTCCTTCAGTAGCACCTTTTATGTCAAAAAGGAATTCTCAACATGTGAATTTGATTACTGATACCGTCCCGTGTTACAACAATTACTTCCTGTAACTATAGACCTCACAGGAAGCCAGTTGATGCCAAGTGACACACCACAGAGAGTTTGGAGGATTAGAAACTAACTCCATACCTCTCCTGACCTGCTAGTTAAGTGTTTTAACCGAATGGGATTATATTAAAGAAGAGTTGGATAAGTGATCCCATTACAGAATGAGTTCTTGAGATGCGCTTCGTTCATTCGACTTGTAGTTTCAGACAGTGGAGCAAAGATTAATATTGTTCGGTGCCTAGTGATAATGTTGTGTTATTATTCCTATTTGCTAAATTAACCAAAATAAACAACCCCCGTCCCACTTTGAGGTTAGAGTGAACTTTCAGATTTAAGAGCTTATGTGTGTGTTTGTGTCCCGGCCTTTGCCGTGTTACTCCACTGAGGACTGCGTCCGTCCTCCTGCCCTCGGGCTAGGTGGAGATTGGTGGTGGTAATGGGAACAACCTGAAGATGCACCTAAAGAGGAAGCGTCTCTCTTCCCAACCTTTGCTCTCGCACCCTGCATGGAGCGAGGACAGTGTAGCTTTGGGTAGCTTTGGCTTCACTCTCTCTTTCTCTCTCTCTGTTTACCTTCCTTCGCCAACCTCTTTCTGTCCTGCTGGGTGATGCGTAGACATCGTGGGTACGCTGAGGCCGGACGAGAAGGCCATAATGACCTATGTATCCTGCTTCTATCACGCCTTCTCTGGCGCGCAGAAGGTGAGCTTTTCATGCCTTTTCACACTCATTAACACCTCAATGCAACAGCAGAAAGAAAGAAAATGGGGATCCCATCAGTTGAGATATGACATGGACTAAGAATATCATCTAGTTTCAAAACATGGGTCAAATCACAGGCACATCCTGAAATTTTTCCCATGCATTTAGGAAAGGGAGATGCTTTGAGCCTCCTATTTGGAAAGTCAGGAATGGTCCTCAAGATAAGCAGCCTGATGGGAACTCTGACGACAACATCAAATGCTTTCTGACGCTTCGGTTTCTCTGGACATGGGCCGTGTTCCCCTGAAGTCAACGTACCTTTTTAAGTCTGGATTTGAATTCCCAAACTCACGTTAGTGGCGTGGTCGTCTTTACTCTCCTACTGAAAGAATCGCATGAGATCGTACTGGATTCTTCTCAAATGTCTTTAGTTTCTGAAGACACACGATTGTTTTATCCGATTACGTGTTGTAGCTTACGTGAATGGAGTTTGTTAAAAATATGTATTGGACAAAGGTGATTTTTAACAATATCATGATATATATCTTTTTTTCTTTTTTATATCTTATTTTCCAAAATTCCAACGCCTTTTTTTCGCATTTAAAATATTTTCTTCTTAATTTTAAAGCAAGTCTTTTGCAGCTGATTAATCTGAATTAATGGTTAGAAGGCTGTTACTGAAGTAGATGCAGGCTGCGGCCTTAATTTCTTACCGACTAAATGTCCATCCATCCTGTGGAAAACAATGTAAAGTGACCGGTTATTACACTGACTTGAGTTTGGGAATGACGACCTTGTTGGTTTATTACTGCGGGAAACACTGGTCAATGTCCTTCAGTGTCTCTTCAGCTATTAACACCTCGGCTCTAAAAGTTAGTTTTAGTCTGTGATATTTGTATAACTATATATGGAATGTATCATTTTAGGATCAGAAGTATTTCGACTTAAACGTGTGCTGGCCATAAAGAAAGTTAGTTGTACAGAATATTTTGGCTTTACTCCACATGTCAAAGCACTGTGTACTGTGTGTTTGTTTTATTCCAGCGTACAGTAGTGTAATATCCTAGGCAGACCTACTGATGGGGACTACAGCGCTACATGAACCTGTAACTAGATGTATGGACTTACTCCTGAGTTGTGCCAGGAGACGCATGGAGCATTAAAACAGATTGAGCTTCTTTTTTTCTTTTCTTTTTTACACAAACTAACCAACTGCTGGAGCATGATTTAATTAGTCCAATCCATTTGATTTCCAATTGGTTATCAGCTCATTCACACTTTTTTTAACAATCTGTGCTCTTATGGTTAGATGTATCACTGCCTGTGTGTGGAGTGTGTGATCACAAAGTAAGTTTTTAAAACGAGAGTAATAAAAGCCCAGGCCGAGGTAGTTCCAAGGACCCGGGAACGCTTGCGTTGTCTCTTCACTGAGTGGACTCCACGTCACTGCGAGCGCCACTCACCCTTCTGTTTCACGTTAGGCCGAGACCGCCGCCAATCGCATCTGCAAGGTGCTGGCTGTTAACCAGGAGAACGAGCAGATGATGGAGGACTACGAGAAGCTGGCCAGCGAGGTGAGGACCAAACGCCCCTTTCCACTTAACATTACACACACGTCGAAGGAGCTTTGATCACAAGTTCCCTGAACCCGTCTTTTCCTCTGGCTTCCAGCTGCTGGAGTGGATCCGTCGCACCATCCCCTGGCTGGAGAACCGTACCCAGGAGAAGACCGTGAACGACATGCAGGCCAAGCAGGAAGACTTCAGAGACTACCGCTGTGTCCACAAACCCCCCAAGGTACGGGGAGTTACCCTTTGCCAGAAGTTGTATTTAAGTGGCCGAGCGTAGGGTCTTTGTCCCGACCTGCATGAACGTGTCCACTAACGCATGTGAGCCTCCTGCCTGCAGGTCCAAGAGAAGTGCCAGCTGGAGATCAGCTTCAACACTCTGCAGACCAAACTGAGACTCAGCAACAGACCTGCCTTCATGCCGTCAGAGGGACGCATGGTGTCTGTATGTGTGACGCGATCGCTCACCTCTTAAGTTGTTTTCATTGTTAATCATCTGTTCCAGGGGGCATAACGTATGCTTGTTGCATCTGCAAACTGAGCTAGAGGGGCGAAGAAGCCGGCGCCCTGCTGTACTCTGATGTCAGTATCTCGTGCTGTCTGCTCTCAGGATATCAACGGAGCGTGGCACACTCTGGAGGGAGCGGAGAAGGGCTACGAGGAGTGGATCCTCAGCGAGATCCGCCGTCTGGAAAGACTGGAGCATCTGGCCGAGAAGTTCCATCAGAAGGCCGCCATCCACGAATCCTGGACCGACGGTACGACACGCGCATGCACACGCTGTGTGAACAATCGACTGTCAGTGATCAAGTTGGATCCTCTTCCTTTTTCTTTTATCTCTGTCGAGAGCAAATATTCCTCTTAGGTCTTTCTTTAACTGCGATTTTGAATTGTTATGCCACATAAATATTGACAGAACTATAGCTTACTATAAGCTAAAAATAACAGGGGTTTAGGAGGAAAAACGTTTCTGAAAATGAAATCATGGAATACTTTTTGAAAATGTTCAATATTTCTCATTTTAAAAAAAAATGCTTTAAACTAAAAAAAAAAAACTGATGACCCAATCCGCTTCTTTTTTTTTTTTTAAGTAGACATAAGCGCCAGCTTTCATGTGTTCCTGAATCAGAATCGGATAGAAGTCCGGTGTTCCTAAAATCACATCAACTTTAAGGTGATGTGGATTATTTCCTTTGATGTGTATGCAGGTAAGGAGGCCATGCTGACGCAGAAAGACTACGAGACCTCCACCCTGTCAGAGGTCAAGGCGTTGCTACGGAAACACGAGGCCTTTGAGAGCGACCTGGCAGCCCATCAGGACAGAGTGGAGCAGATCGCCGCCATCGCACAGGAACTCAAGTAAGGAAGAAGTGTGAAGTCAGTCGTTCCCAAACTGGGGGTCGCGGTGCTGTTGGGTGGTCTCACAATGTTGGGCCCCGACAGAAAAGGTTTAGGGACCAAGCCTCTCAATCTTTTTTTTTTTTTTTAAGTCTTTATATATGATGCTCATAGAGTCGAATAGACCATAAAGCGGAGTGTGCTTTAGGGTGTGACTGTAGCTAATAGACCCTTATTAGCAAATGTCTTTCTTTATAAGCCTCAAAGTTAGTATACTCCCCGATAACCACAGATCTCAGCCGTCTAACCAAGAAACCCATTTGGGTGATTTGTGCGTAAGTAAATCGTGGCCTCTAAACTGGCTCCTCTTGTGCTCTGTGTACTTCCAGCGAGCTGGACTACTACGACTCTGCCAGCGTCAACGCTCGCTGTCAGAAGATCTGCGACCAGTGGGACACCCTGGGGGCCTTCACCCATGGCCGCAAGGAGTCATTGGAGGTAACGCTTGCACACCATTCCGCTGCGTGTGTGCATATACAGTAAATGTTTGCTAACCGGCAAATTACATTTTAAAAATCCACTGACAAACAGGATTTAATGAACCGCTCCATAATGGGCCAGAGTAACGTATTAGTGTTGTAGTGGCCATTTGTCCTACAAAACTTTAAATCAAAGGCCGCTGGCTGCACCTACTGTTTGTTTTTGTCACGCAGCAAGAGAGTGTGTTGTCCAGGCAATCGGTTCCTTTTGTTCAGATTTTATTTCCAAAGAAGGCAACAAACGCATACAATTGGCTTGGCTGCCTTCCTGTGCAGTGCTCTGCCTCGCTGTATTGCTGGTAAAAAACTGTCACCCAGGTGCATGCTGGTCCTATACCTGGCTATGCCCTTAAATAACCCCCATGTGCCCACAGTATTACCCATTTAATTAGTGATCCAATTACCCAAACAATTAACCAAAACTACACATGCTTAGTGACAATATGTTTAAACCAAATACAAAAAGCTACCTTAATACTACATCAACAAACCATAATATTTAAGAACAAATAACTAAATAGCTCCCACAAGTGTGTAATCTGATCTTTCAGAACTGCATTGATATCTCAGATATTGTATTCACATGCTTTAAAGCTAAAACTCTTTAGTTGTGAGCTACTAAACAGTGACAGTAGACAGTGTTTGTGTTTATAAGTTTGTATAAAATTATTTCCTAAAAGTACGTTATTTGTCTCCTTTGCTTTATTAAGTATTCACTGTCCTCCAAACAGCTATTAATATCCTCCCAATTGAATTCTCGTCCTTAATTGGCCTAAATTGAGTTTCATCCGTGTGTTTCGCCAACAGAGGACAGAGAAGCAGCTGGAGTCGATAGACGAGCTGTACCTGGAGTACGCCAAGAGAGCTGCGCCCTTCAACAACTGGATGGAGGGAGCGATGGAGGACCTGCAGGACATGTTCATCGTCCACAATATCGAGGAGATCCAGGTAACGGAGTCATGCAGCAACCAGAGGCGTAAACTATATCTGGCTCAAGGTTGCTCTTAAGGATGCCATACATGTTTTTCGTTTACTTCAGGGCCTCATCACAGCCCACGAACAGTTCAAGTCCACCCTGGCCGAGGCCAACAAGGAGCGTGAGGCCATCCAGGCAATCCAAGCAGAGGTGCAGAAGATCGCCCAGAGCAACGGCATCAAGCTGAGCGGATCCAACCCCTACACCACCATCACACCTCAGAGCATCGACAGCAAGTGGGAAAAGGTAGGTTGCAGCCACGAGAGACCTGGCAGAAGTACCGGGACAAGAAAGATTAGTTAATATTTCCGGAACCGCAGCAAACACTTGATCTATTCTGTCTTCAGGCGATGGACATGGTGCCGCTGCGTGACACTGCTCTGCAAGGCGAGCTCAACAAGCAGAACTCCAACGACACTCTGAGAGCCAAGTTTGCCACTCAGGCCAACACGGTTGGCGCCTACATTCAGGCCAAAATGGAGGTAATTTCGCCGCCCACGCACTCCAGTCCGACTGACCGTGTGCGAGGCGCTTTCTCTCCATTTTGGGGCCAGCATTGTGCAACAGTGAGCTGGGGGGGGGGTCGGGGCTCAGCGGCGTGTGATCAGTTGATTGGTTGAGCATTAGCATTCTACAACCTATAGTTGTATCCCTATGGTTGTATGCACTCATTGTAAGTCGCTTGGGTTAAAAGTGTCAGCTAAATGACATTAGAAAACCCGTCCCTCTTCACTTCTGCTGCTTTGATTTTTGGTTTGGTTAAAACAAAGCCAGGTTCTTTTTGGGTTGCTGTGGAAGTTGTCTAATGAACCCTGGCGCTGAACTGAGACCCAGTCTGCTTCCTAGTGGGCTGTAGGATGGTTCCAACGAGGTGTGAAAGCAAAGCAACCCCCTACAGGACTTCATGAAACGCGACACCACTAATAAATCCACGCTCTGATCCTGAAGTCCGTTCAGGCGATGATCTTATAAATAAACCGTAAAAACGTATTGTGTGATTTTCTCAGATTAACTGGTCAAAAGCTGTTTAACTGCGACGCTCGACCCAGATTCGTTACCGTACAAGACGTCTCATGCACACGTTTGTGCACACAACAGGGCATACGTACGGTACCGTCTCTACTTGTTTTCATCGCGCCAATGCAACCAATTTGCGCTTCAGTAATACATAAGCAATAAAGGGCTGCGCGCAGCCAGAAGGCTTTGACTCCCCCTCGTCGGTCCTGATGATGCACAATGACAATTGTAAAAACTGCCTGTTCTTTAATAGAAAAGTTGGTGTGAACTAAACCAGAGCTAGAACTAAAAAGGCAACCATGTATAATTTCTTTGCTCTCTTTGATCAGTAGCAAATAAACCAGACTATGAGTAAGCCGCCTAAGGTCACAGAATGAGGGCTGATGCAGAAGGATCTGTGTAAATGTGTCTTCCTGTGCTAGAGGGAGAAACATCTGTGTACTTCTGTGTCTGCAGGAAATCGGCAGGATATCCATTGAGATGAACGGCACCCTGGAGGACCAGCTGACCAGCCTGAAGGAGTACCAGAAGACCATCATGTCCTACATGCCAGAGATCAACACGCTGGAGGGGTACCACCAGCACATCCAGGAGGCCCTCATCTTCGACAACCAGTACACCTCCTACTCGATGGAGGTAACGCAAACGCACACATAAAGCCTCATAAATCTGCTCGTTCTCTGCGGTCACGCTCTCAAATGCTGTTTTTGTGCCTTTAAAAAAAATTAAAAATTAAAGCCCATAAGTAAATGTCTAAATGTAACCCCTTTTCCTCCCCCCTTCTCTCCCCGTCTCCCTTTGCGGGCTCCCTTCCCTGCAGCACCTTCGCGTGGGCTGGGAGCAGCTGCTGACCACCATCGCCAGAACCATCAACGAGGTGGAGAACCAGATCCTGACGCGCGACGCCAAAGGGATCAGCCAGGAGCAGCTCTACGAGTACCGCGCCTCCTTCAACCACTTCGACAAGGTCAGGGGGCCGAGCTCCGGGGCCACGCCTCCTAGAGCACAAGTTTTTTTTTTTTTTTTTGTTACACCTGCTATATCACGTTACAATGTCTGCCAAGTCATTTGTCTGTTCATTCAGATGTTTAGCACATGTTGGGGGAAGGTTGTGTACAGGTGTTGACAGGCAGAGAGGGAGAGCCTACAGGGTGCTGTCTGGTGAGGGAGTGATGTGTCATGGTACAGGTAGATGCATACAGTAGATGGAGTGTGGGGAAAAAGGCCGGAGAAATAACATGAGCAGCAGCAGCTAAATGTATTTTAGACACCTCAAAAAAGTGGATATTTAGAATGTAATCACTGCCTATCAGCTGAAGCCGTTATCAATGCTCTCTATAAGACTGTCCTGTTATCTTTTGGAACACAACGGTGTACCGATGCCTCCATCGGTTAGTTTGTGTTCTTGTGTAGTTTGTTGAACCGGAGATATCCCACCTTTATGGGCATTGATAACGCTTTGGTTCCCCAGAGACGCGGCTGTCAGACTGCACGCTATGACAATATTCTCAATGTAGCGACGGCTTCAACTGTTACAATATCTTTTTTTGTAGCTGTCTAAAATACGTCCACAATAGTACGTTGCTCTGCTCCTGTGCTGGTTCTACTGTTTCTCCTCACTCAATCTACTGTACTGACTATGGAGAAATACCTCGAACAACACATATCCCCTTAAAGTGTAATTTGTAGTTTAGCATGATGATACACTTGCTTCATTGGATGTAAACTTCCCAACGTCGCCAACCTTGTGTGTATCAAACCACTGTCGTTCATCATCTCACACCTGTGTGTGTGTGTGTGTGTGTGTGTGTGTGTGTGTGTGTGTCACTGATTCATGTTGCTGTCCTCGACCATCACACCAGTGTTTCTCGGCACAAGGAACATCTTGAGCACGAGGTCATCGTCATCAATCGCTCTTCATTTTTAGTGTTTACTTGAACAAACTTCCTGAATAACTCCAGATGACTCCATGGCCTCCTGTTAAGGTTGTGTGTGTTTGTGAGTGCACTGATATAGTCTAAATGTCTGTGAATGTCTTGTCTGTCCACCTCCATCCTCACCCCCCCCCCCTGCATGCCGTGTGGACCTCCCGATCGCCACCCGTCCCCGTATTGCGTTTTGACGCGTCGCTCGTGTCGTTGGCTGTTTGGCCGATCTCAGGACCACAGCGGCGCGCTGATGGCCGAGGAGTTCAAGGCCTGCTTGATCAGTCTTGGCTACGACGTGGAAAACGACAAGCAGGTAGGAGACGTTCGGCGCCAGTCGCAGTTTGTTGGGTCTCCGAGCAGGAGAGCAGAGCAGAGTGGAGGTCATAGGTCGGATCCCACATCTGCACAGGAATGCACTACATTTTTGAGTTATTTAGCCACGATTATTCCACTTTGGTTCATAATCATTCCCAAGATTGCAGAATAACGTTATTTTATTTTGCTTTTAATAGACGGCCGATTTAAGAACAAACCCAGCAAATGGTTAAAGGACTTTAAACTTAAAAAAAAAAAAAAGAATGACAGTGAGTCATAGTCCCTCACACCAAAGACATCTGAATTCTAGACACATCTGGATTGGTCCATCTCAGGTAAAAAGTGATGTCTGTAACCATCCGGCTCTCCTGCTCTGAGGTTCCCCACCAACTCTGCATCAGCATGGAGGGCAGAGATAATCTCGCGTCCCTGTATGTCCACCGAGTGGCACTGCGGCTCTGGAAACCAGGCTCCCTCTCACTCTCTGAGCAGACGCCTCATCTGTCTGCCTGGCTGTCTGTCTCTCTGCCCGTCTGTCTCTGTCGGGTTTTACTTTGGCTGTTAACCGTTTGTGCTCTGTTTTATCCTTCTTTCACCTCCCTGCCCCAAACATTTCTCTACATTTTGTTAACTCTATATCTGTCCATCACTCCTCTTTCACTCTGTCACTCCTCCTCCTTCCTCTCAAACTTCTTTGACCCCCCCCCCCCCCTCCTTCCTTTGGCCTTGGCTCTGCTGCGGCCCACAGAAGCGATCGGGACAGATGGTCTCGGAGGACTTCCGGGCTCTACTCATTTCGACCGGAAACAGCCTGGTACTACTGCTGCTGCTGCTGCTGGCTTCGGCGTGGTGCTCTCACAGGGTGTCCGCAGGTCCAACAGTGTCCCCATTCAAAAAACTTAAAGGAATGTCTCCCGTCAAGCTAATCTTCCAGTGAGAATTTGACCCCTTTGTTGAGGTCCTGTACAAGCATGAGACCGTATGTTTTTTGTGACATTTTAAAGCTCTCCCACACAAACAAGGGGTTAATAATTGACATTAAAGCTGCATTTCTGTTTGGGAAGCTTTCTTTTTTGGGGGCTGAATAACAAAAAGGGGTTTTGTAGAAAAGTTTTGCATATATTAATGGAAAACAATATTCATGTTTTTTGTTACTTTTGAAAGTATACTTTGGTGTAATGTCTTAAATCTGAGTTCACACCTGCAGACACCCTGCCCGCCCCTCCCACCAGATCCGCTTCTTAGTCCGTCAAGTCTGTCACTTTTCTCCTTGCTACCTGAAAGACAACCGTCAATTTTCATGAAGACAAATCGCTTGTCTTCGTGCCGTCCTCTTGTCTGCGTCCTTTTGTCTGGTTTTAGCCAGTGATCATGTGATGCATGTGTCAGAAGGGTGGGATACAAAATATCAGGACCACAATCACAACCTGTCAATCCTTTTCTCCGCCTTGCTATATTTCCTCGAGGTCCTGATGTTTTTACACACTCCGCTCTGTCACGTTCTGTGTGTGTGTGTGTGTGTGTCTTGAGTACAAAGGGCCGTCTTTCCTGGGTTAACCCATTGCTCTCTCGGTTGCCAGGGAGACAGCGAGTTTGCTCGCATCATGAGCATAGTGGACCCCAACGGCAGCGGTGCCGTGACCTTCCAGGCCTTCATCGACTTCATGTCCAGGGAAACGACCGACACGGACACTGCGGACCAGGTCATCGCCTCCTTCAAGATCCTGGCCGCTGATAAGGTGTGTGTGTGTGTGTGTGTGTGTGTGTGTGTGTGTGTGTGTGTGTGTGTGTGTGTGTGTGTGTGTGTGTGTGTGTGTGTGTGTGTGTGTGTGTGTGTGTGTGTGTTTAATGCAGAATTATGTGTATTGTATTCCCATTGTTCATTGCAAAGAATTCAGTATGGCATTTGTATTTACAGGATTATTATTTTTAAATAAAACGCATTGACTAATGACTGAAATATTAGGCTCATATTTGTAAAAAATCTAATTTTTGGTTGTGATTTGCTGAAGAAGCCGGAGAGTCTCATTGAACATGCGGTGGTGGAGGATCTGCAGAAGTAGAAAGGATTATCACAAAATAACAATCAGCTGATAAATTGATTGACGGTAGCAAAAGAAGTATTCAAATACTTGACAATATCAGTTGAAAGTTTAAGCACATAGGTAATAGAAATACTTGAATCATTAGAAAGTGATACTATCTTTAGGTCAGTATAGATGTATCACTATGGAAGTGGGGACTTCAGCTCTCATCAGAGTTTCATTTGCAACATATCAAAAGTGTTTGCAGAACAACTGTACACAGGTGTATGGGTAAGATGTAAGCCTTGCTCATCCTCCCTGTTTCCATCAGACTTTCATCACGGCTGAGGAGCTGAGGAGGGAGCTTCCCCCCGACCAGGCGGAGTACTGCATCGCCCGCATGGCGCCTTACGTGGGGGCCGACGCCGTTCCTGGCGCCCTGGACTACATGTCCTTCTCCACCGCCCTGTACGGAGAGAGCGACCTGTAGACGAGCAGGAGGCCAGGACAGAGGAGGAAGGGAGCTAGGGTCATTCTGTGCATAGAGGGGACGCCCAGGAGTCGCGCGTCGGGAACAAAATTGAGTGGTGGTTGTGAGGTGCCCCTGCGTGTGCCGCTATAGAAATCTTCAGAATATTTTTTTTTAAAGAACGTTGATACTTGATTGAACTGCCTTTAGTGGGATCAGAGCAGGAAGGCAAGGGGGCACGAGCTAATCTGATACTTATGCTAATAGTCTTTTATTTTATCATTTCTTTCTTCTTCCCAGGTGGGTTCGGAACATGTGAGGAAGAGGGGAGATTGCGTATTAGATCCCAGAGAGATGAAAAAAGAGAAAAAACCCATTTAACCATATTTCCCATGTTGCCGGTGACATGTCTGACCTTGGCTTTTTTTTTTTTTTTTTTTTACCCTCCTCCCGTCATTGTTTTTTTCTTTTTGTGTTTCCCCCAGCTGCAGGTGGGCGGTGTTCGGGTGGGGATGGTGGTTGGGTGTGAGTGGAAGGGCCTGGAGGGGGCTCGGCGCTGTACATATTTTTTTCAGTGCAGAGAGAGGCACACACGGTCCCAGTTGTCCAGAGTAATTGATCGCAAGCTTCCCAGTAGTGGGCGGCGGGGGGGGAGCAAAGCAGAGTGACATTTATTATGAAAAAAATATAAAAATAACAAAATGACAAAAACAAGAGCTTTTTTTTTCATATGAAATAAAAAGACAATGACACAACGCAGAGAGCGCAGTTTCTTCAGTGAATAGGTTTGAGCTTCCAGAAGTCTTCACTTCAGGTTTTCCTTTTTTCCTTTTTTTTGCAATGGAAATAGTTGTTCGCCGTGAAGTTTAAGGCTTGTGTACCTAAAGGCCTTCTACTGTATAACTCACGACGGGCAAACCACCATCGCTTTCCACAAATATTTGCTTCTGTGAAACTTTTCTCCCGGGGGCGGGTTAGGGTGCTTATTTAAATACAAAAAGACATTTGTATGATCGTTAGGATGGTATAAGTCAAAGTTGGGCCAGTTTTATATACCAGAAACCACACGCAGGAATACACATACACACGCACACAGATGTCATGGATGCATCCGATTGGCTGAATGAAAGTTTCTTTGCACTTCTTCGATTTTGTTTTTCTTTCTTAGAGCTGCTGTAGTGGCACTCTGGAGAGGGAAAAATGTCAAACCGGTGGAGGAAATTAATTAAATGTGCCTATTGGTGTGCCCTCCCCCCACCTCTCTCGCTCGCTCTCTCTCTCTCCCCCTCTTTTCTTACACCCTCTCATTTGTCCCTAAAGGGAAGGAAAATGTACTGCGAGTCAGGAGGAAAGGGGAACGATCAGAGCGGTCTTCATGTAAACATTCCATTATGTGCAAATAAAAGTCTAAAAAAGGAAATTCTGTAAAAGGAAAAAATAATTTTAAAAAGCTATGCAATCATAATGTGTTGGATATCTGAGTTCTGGGGGAAGTTGTGGGCATCAATTGGGCCATTTTGCGAGAAAGTTCCCAGTCTAGATGATTGGCTGTTGCGGGGAGAGGAGGGACAAACAAGGAGGGACAGATAGGGAAGCAACTGAGAAGAAAAGACAGACCAAAAGCTTGTTTTTCTTTTCTTTTTTTCCACTTCGAAGTGCGGAGGAAAAAAAGAACTCTGAATTTTTTTTTCTTTTTTTTTTGTACTCTTTAATATCAAACCTTCTCTGCTGTACTGGAAACTGCAATGCCTTCTGTCTCTAATGATAAGTGAGTTTCACAAAAGCACACATAAAAGTTTCCTTACAAAATACTCCCCGTGGGCGTGTCTTTATTTTGTCTGTTAAACTTGAAAATCAACGCGTCGTATTATATATTGTCAAGTGAAGATGATTTTATGACTCTGCAGATCATTTTGAGCATCTGATCGTTTTATAAATCCTTTATCATTCTCCTCTTTCGTCCTCCTCTTTATTACATTACTGATGATTCGTCAAACGTAAATGTAACCTAATTAGTGAAAACAACAAATTAACATTTCTGCAATATTTTTGGATCACATCAACATTGAGGTATTTGGTAAAAACATTTTGATTCAACCCTTACAACCTAAAAATGTGATTAGCGTAAGTATTTTAAACTTTTAATTGTAGGTTTTTAACTATTGGCCAATTAGCTCAGATGTTTGTTTGTGCCTCTGATAAAGGTTTTGACTAACTTTGACCCATCTAACTTGTTATAGGAATATCCACAATATTTATTGTGTCATCACTTTTATGTCAAATTTGTGTATAACGGTTGGTTCACAAAAAAACAAAGCTGATGTGTTTCGAAACACATTTCTGAAGAAAACAACTACAGACCGGTCTCTCTCCTTCCCTTTTTGTCCAAAACCCTTGAACGTGCTATCTTTAATCAACTCTCCTCTTATCTCCACTGTAACAACCTCCTTGACCCCCACCAGTCAGGTTTCAAGGCAGGCCACTCCACAGAGACTGCTCTCCTTGCTGTCTCAGAGCAACTCCACACTGCTAGAGCCGCCTCTCTCTCCTCTGTCCTCATCCTTCTGGACCTCTCTGCTGCATTTGACACGGTCAACCACCAGATCCTTATTTCCTCCCTTCAGGAACTTGGTGTCTCAGGCTCTGCTCTCTCCCTCCTCTCGTCCTACCTCGACGGCCGCACCTACCGGGTAACCTGGCGAGGATCTGTGTCGGAACCTTGTCCTCTTACTACTGGAGTTCCTCAGGGTTCCGTGCTGGGTCCCCTTCTCTTCTCGCTCTACACCAACTCTCTCAGTGCTGTCATTCGCTCGCATGGCTTCTTCTACCACAGCTATGCCAATGACACCCAACTAATTCTCTCCTTCCCTCACTCGGACACCCAGGTGGCGGCTCGGATCTCTGCCTGTCTAACTGAGATCTCTCAGTGGATGTCCGCCCACCATCTGAAAATCAACCCCGACAAGACTGAACTACTTTCCCGGAAAAGATTTGCTTATCCAGGACCTGACAGTCAACTTTGGAAACTCTGCTAATGCCCACTTTGACCGCTAAGAACCTCGGCGTCACACTCGACAGCCAACTCTCCG